ACTTGCAGATGAAAATCCTGAGATTACAGTGGCAACAGCCAGATTTTTAACTATGGCTATACAAACAAGGTTTTTAGTAACAAATCGAGTTGGGGTTTTAAGTATATTATGTAATATTTATTAAATATTTTATTTGTTAAACTGTTTTATTTAATATCAAGTTTAGATTATGTTTATGGAATATGAACAAGAATAAATGCATTAATGAAACCTGGGAAGGAAGAAAGTCATGGGGATTAGAAACTAGGTAGGGAAAATATGCAGGATAGAGCTTCTGGAATTCCCTTCAACTGTTTACCAACAATGGCCATAGGAGGAGTCAGTATTTTCTGTAGTTTAATGATGTAACATGTTGTGTCTCTCTGTGTGCAATTTGTCCCTAAGGACTAACAAAGATGCGTGCCTGTGTATGTGTGAGAGAAAGGAAAGGGCATTTAATCTGGGTAGGAATATATACGTTGCCTGGATCTGTGAGGGTCTACTCATGATGTGCAGACTCTCAGGATGGTAAAACTCATGAACAACAGCTTACCTTCTAATGCACAAGCCCCATCGGTTAGGTTTCCATAACACACTGAACCACAAACTACCCAACCACACTTTAGCCCAGCATGTCCTGCAAATCCAGCCTGTGTGGTCCATTTACATTTCAGTATGTTGCGCAGACCCTGAAAATTCAATTCATAGCAAACCATGATTAAATGAATCACACATAAGCATCTTGTGTAAACACAATCTCAGTATTTCCACAAGCTGCACTGTAGGAGAAAAGACAAGAGCCAGGTAGAAACAAAAGCCAGGGTCTTGTCCTCACAAAGCAAAAAAGCTTTTTGGGTAGTTAGTAAAATGTTGTGTGTGTGTTGGTGTGATAACATGCACCTGTTGAAATTCCTCCTGCATTTTGTGCAGCTGCTGAAGCCCAACTGAGTGCCTCTTCGTTTTGGCGTTTGGGATTGGAAGACTGCTTTCAAACTTGGGAGTGTGTTTGCCGGCTGTCATTTACTCCTCCTCCTCTTCTCTCCCCCTTCTTCCTTTCTATGTGGCCAGAGTCTTCCTTTGGGCCTTCTCTTATCAATTTCTGCATCTTTCTTTTTTTGCCCCTCTAGGTAAGTGTGCCAGATCCTTTTCTTCTTACTGGTAGCTGAGAAAAGTGGGCTGGGGGTGGTCTTTTTATTATACAGTATCATTTTCTATGCTTTAAATATTTAGCAGATAAAAGCATGGGAGTGCGTGAGAAAGACAAGATTGCCTTGCTGAAATTTTCAGTAAAATAAGCAAATACAAAGTTGGTATTTTAGGAGAAAGGGGATTTAAAGTAGAATGCAAAGAATGTAATATGAAAGCCATGAAGTTATTGACAAGGAAACCCAAATCATTATCATGGTTAGCTTAAAATATGAGAAGTCCTGTATATGTTTCTGGAATGGTCTTTTTATTACAACTGAAATATTCTGAATTTGTTATAAATATATCATGTTCAGGTCTTTTCTAACAATTTTTGAAATAAACTATGGTACTTCAAGGAATTGATTAGAAAACACTGAGATTTGTTTTTATGTCTGAGAACAAGCTGTAACAAAGGCTGGATGCTTGTGTGTCTCTCTCCCATCTCACACACACACACACCAGTCTGGGCAAAGCTTACATTTTAATTGGCACCAACTAACTACTAATGTAATCTATTGATTACTTGGGGAATAAGTCCCATTTCATCCCAGTGGGGCTTGCTTCTAAGTAGACAGAATTGTTTTCAAATTTTTGGTGGGATTCTTTGGGTATGTGGTTTGTAAATATAAATAATAAAGATAGTCTCCAGAGTGATCTCTATCATCCTTTCTTGGTTAGGCTGAAAATAGCTTGTGACTTTAGAGCAGGTGCTGTGTGTCTTTCTGGGTGATCTACTGGGTGGAAGGGAATGGAGAGTCAAGCTCTAAAAATAGGCAAACTCTTAAACTGTCTTACTGTGAAAAAGTCCTTGTGACAAGGAGAAGGACATTTTGCATAATTCATCTCTACTTTAAAGAGGAAGAAAACAACGTAAAGATGTTAAGGCAACTTGTTGATAAGCTGTTTGGTAACTCTTAATATGTGTAAAGTAATTAGGAAGACATTGATATATGAATATATTATATTGTTTCTACTTTAGAAAAAAGTATCACCGAACTTAGAGTAGCCTTCAAAATAAGGATCTTAAACAGGTGTTACTTTAGTAGTAAACAAAGTTCAGCTATATCTCCCTGAAGAGCACATCAGACACATGCTAATAACACTATGGCTCCACAAAGCATATGAGGTATGATGACATCACACCGTGATCAGTAAACAGATGTATAAACTAAAGTGGAACATTGTACTTATTTCATAGCATGTATTTTCTTCCTGCTCCAGAAGGCATCTAAAATAGCTTAAAATCACCAGCAGGCTTTGCAGCGGATAGACCACAGATTCTACACCACTCTCCCTATTATGTCATAAGCATCACCTTTTGTAACTTTACTATAGATGAGATTATATGCATAATGGACAGGCTATAAATAAGTAAATAATGTTCACCACCTTCCATGCATATTCATGATAAGACCCTGTTTAATTTGCATAATTATTATATGCACTCCATATGGTGCTGCCTTCAGCTGCCTCCATAAGATCTCCTTCAGTTGTAGTGCATGTACCATGCCTTTTCTTAATAATAGACAAACCATGGAGATGAGTTAGATTCATACATTATACTAAGCCATAATGTGGTTTGTTTGAACCTTACCACTTGATTCAACAAGCCATGGCATATCAATGTATGAAACAGGTCAGTTCTTTATGTCCTCATTTCTGCAGCTTGCCAAGAGCAATTGATTGGGGGTGCTTTCTGTTTATCAAGCAGGAAATCACAAGGAAAATTAGACGTTTTCTACCATCTTCTTAATGAAAACTCACAACTGGACTCTTATGAAAAGAAAGATTTCCAACCTCTTGGTTTAATGAATTTTACAATCATACTTCCTTCCTTTGCTATGCATTATCCAAAATCAGAATTCTGAAGCTGATACATACAAGATAGCAGAACGTGTATCACTGCAGTTCTTTGAAAAACAATCAGATGCTTGTTCAATACCAACCAAGTATGCCAAGAAATTCACTTCCTATTTTTAGCCATTGTACTTCATGCAATTCAGGTATCTTAAACTGGAAAATACAGTGTAAATGCAATCTGTGATATAATTCCAATGGTCCATGAAGGTTTCTTGTCTGAAAAATCCACAATGCAATTGTGTGTGTGTGTGTATATATAAAATACATACACATCTACCCATATTTCTGTACAGCAAATTGCTATCCTGTTCAATGAGCTTTCTGTCTTACTCAGACATTTTTCAGTCAATATAGTATGATCCAGGATCAGACACATGTCTACTAATGCCTTTTTCCTTGTACTCAATCCAATAGAGTTTGTTCTGAAAAAGATTTCAAACCAGGATAATTATCACCAAATCTTATACTAAGCTGTAATATTTATATGTGAAAATGACAGAAATCATAATATGACAACAGGCAGTAGTGTTCATCTTTGTTTTACAACCCACACAATGGGAAATGATAACTGATTGGCCAAATCTAGTCTAGTCACTCAAAATTAATGCAGCATCAAGAGAAAAGGGCTCAAGCATGCAGCCAACCCACCTTCTGTTCTAATGGTGCTTCTCTGAATTACCTGAAACTACTTGCATTCAGCATTTCTATTTATTTGAACTTCCTTGTTCATTGAGCATAGCCTAGGGAACTACTACTGTTGTACATATGCAGAAAAGCATGTGTTTCCCTGCAATACACAGATTTTGTAACAGTTTCCAGAAGGGTCATTGCGTTAGTTTGAGAAAACATGCAAACAGCAAAATTAGAATTGTCATCAGCTGCTATTTTCCTATGCAGATTGAAACTCTCCTGCAGCTGCCTTCATCCCAGAAAATGGGTCAGGTTAGTTGTTCTTCATTTCAGGCAGTGTAACACACATTTCTTTGGACCAGAGTAACATTTCAAAGTCTTTATAGAATTCATTAACACAATGTATATGTCCATAGCTCACTGATATATCAGGGCATCTATGTTCACTTCTGTTTCAAAACAGGTATAAACTGTTTTAATTCTCTGGCTATTGAAGCCCAAAAGCTGAGAGACCACCTCCTAGTGTTTAATTGGTACTTGATGGGATGAGAAGAAATGTGGTTTTCTGCAGATGCTAAATTTACTGAGTATATCATGCAATTGCCATAAGCTGTATAGTTGGTGTGGGCATACAATGCCGCTAGCGTGGGTATCAGAAGAATTAGTCTTCTTGTTTCTCACTTTTATAGCAGATCTGAAGGAAAGGGAACAAGTTATTTCAGACATTCTGGAGGAGAAAAGTCCCAGATCAAAGGCTTGAATAGCTGCTACCATTCCAGACACATACAGGTTACAGAAAGAACAGCCATCCAATGGTACATTTTGGTGCAAGGCATTTTTTAATATGAGTCAGAAATAGCAAGAACCAAAAAAGCAAAACATACAAACTTAAATTACTTTAAAATCAATAACAGAAAAGGAAAAAGATGGAACTGTTGTGAGAGAAGAGCTGCCACGCTGGTCCAAAGAAATATGTGTTACACGGCCTTAAAGCCCACATCTGGGACTTTTCTCCTCCAGAATGTCTGAAATAACTTGCTCCCTTTCCTTCAGATCTGCTATAAAAGTGAGAACTATTTAGTCTTTTAAAACTATGTGGTTAGTACAGAGTAGTCTACCTCCAATTACATTCAAGAATAGGAAAGAATTTAAGCAGTTGTATGGAAGGGTGCTCTGTCCTTTCTTGAAAGACATCAGATCTGCTCCGAGTTGAACTCCAACTGGGGATGTCCAGCTGAGGTTAGGGGCACAGTCTGGTGGTGTGATCTGGGATGAGTTGAGTTAGTGACTCGAGGAAGTAAACAGGGTTCTCTGTGTTATTAGCCTGGCCACCTGTTTGTTGGACCCAGACCATTCTTGGCTCATTAAGGTGACTAGGGAGGTCACCTATAGTGAGGTCCATATGGTGATGTTGGCTTCTATGAGAGAGGGAGTGATCTGGTAGCCGTGAAGGAGGGTGTGGTGTACCCCATCCTCAAAAGCCCCAACTATTTTTGATAAGTGTCATCCTGTCTCCAACCTTCCATAAAAAGAAAAGGTTGTTGAGAAAGAGGTCAGGCTGCAGTTACAGAGGACTGTGGAGGAAGCAGATTATCTAGACTCAGTTCAGTCAGGGTTCAGGCTGGGTTTTAGTATGAACATCCTTGGTCACTTTTGCTGATGACCTGTGGTGGAGCCAGGATGAGGATGATCTTTCAGCAGCTTTCAATACCATTAACCACTGTATCCTTCTGGACCAACTATGGGGGTTGGGAATTAGCGGCACCATTTTCTGGTAATTTTCTTCCTTCCTTTTTGGTTGGTTCCAGTCAGTGTTGGAGGGGGGGGGCAATTGCTCCCTAGGACCCTCCTTTGTGCAGTGTCACAGACTTCGGTGCTCTGTCCCATCCTGTTTCACATCTACATGAAACCACTGGGTGAGGTCATCCACAGTTTAAGATCCAATGATACCCAGTTGTATCTTTTGAACTCAGGCCAGCCAAGGGAGTCTGTCAAAGTTCTGTCCCAGTGCCTAGAGGCTGTGTGGGTCTGTATGGGGAGAAACTGGCTCCAAGTCAATTCTGAGTGGCTGTGGCTGTGGCTGTGGCTGTTGGGACCACCTAGATTGGGGATTTTTCATCTTTACTACTGGATGGGCTTGCACTCACCCAATCAAGAATGCTGTGCAACTTGGGGATTATCTTGGACTCACAGCTCCTGCTCAAAGGGCTGGTGGCAGTTGTGGCCAAGAGGGCATTTGCACAACTCTCCTGTGTGCCAGTTGTGCCCTGTCTTGGATCAGTCAGCCCTCCAGACAGTCATGGCTTGAGTATTGCAATGCTGCCCTTGAAGACCACTTGAAAGCTTCAACTGGTCCAGAATGCAGCAGCATGAGCAGTGATGGGCTTGCCTCAGCATGCCCACGTGGCACTTCTGTTTCACGAGTGGCACTGGTTGCCAGTGTGCTTCCGGGTGTGATTCAAAGTGCTGGTTATCACCTATAAAGCCCTACATGGCAAATGGCCCAGTTATTTGAGGGACCACATGTGTCCCATTGTTTCTGCCCATCTGGTACAATCCCACAGAGTGGGCACATTTTAGGTCCCCTCAAATAGTGTCATCTTTTGGGATCCAGGAAGTGCACCTTCTCTGTAGTGGTGCCTGTCCTCTGGCATGACACCCAAAACCCATATGGTTCCCACTTTGATGGCATTCCAGAAAATCTGGCTATTCTTCCAGGCTTTGGGGTAGGGTGAATGGGACTCCCTTTTTTGTGATGCTCTGTGTTTTTACATGTTGTCTGGACTGCCATCTTGCAATTATTTTGATGCTATTTTTTAAATTTGTTTCATTCTAATTTTGTTGTTTTTTATTATGCTCTTATTTTTGTAAGCCACCCAGAATTGGCTAGAATTGGGCAGCATCAAAATAAGACATCAAATAAGTGCCTTGATGCTTGCCCATAATTGATAATATAGCTGTCTCAAACAGGTTCCCACAGTGTTCATGCTGGGTAGGAATTGGGGGAATTCAAGGGCAGCACATTACCTACTTAGACAAAGCTATGATAAGATTACATCTGCTGGGCTCTTGGGACATCTTTTCATTGTGATCTTACCTTTTATTACTTATTACTGAGATTATTCGCCTGGCATTACCTTAGAAGTGTGGAATATAAGTACCTAAATAAGCCTGTATATAAATAACATGTCTATTATCATGTGTGAAAAGCAAGCTAAAACTGTCTACTTCGGCATCGATTGTTTTGCCTCTTGCAATCTTCAGGGTGTTTGCCTAAAACGGAACTCTCTGTGCTTCCAGGAATCCAGCATGGACCACAACCAAAGCCCCAGTGGCCAAGCTGAACAGCAACAGTTGCCTTCCGCAGACAACCCTGAAGTTTTGCCTTCTCAGAATGGCTTCGGGAGAGCAAGGGAGACATTGCAACCTCGGTCCCCTGAACACGCAGCCCAGGCTGAGCCTGAAATAAAGCTGTGTGATATATCCGAGGAGCTGAGCCGACAGCTGGAGGACATTATTAAAACCTATGGGTCAGCTACCAGTCTGGTGGAGGAAGGAAATACGAAATCCACAGACGAACCTGAGAAAGGGGAATCTTTCAATCACGAGGATGGGGACTATGAAGATGGCCATGATCAGGCTGAGAAAGAACAGATCCCTTTGGGGGATGCCTCTGGATTAAAGGAGGCCAGTATTCAGAAAGAACAAAAACTGGAAAAGAAAATCCTGAAAGGATTAGGCAAGTAGTTATTTCTGTAACTGAAATGCAGCACTTAATGTGACTCATTGACTATATCAGGAAAAGCACCACAGTGGTCTCTATAAAATTTCAGCATTTGACATTGATCGCATGTGCTGTCTTCTCCACCATTGCAAAAAAAGCATGACTTTTCTGAAAAGTGGGGACTTGCTTTGTTTTCAAGTGAAATGGTTTGAAAATTAGAAACCCCTTTCAGGCATCAATAAGCATCACAATAATGGAAGTGGGTAGTAATTGATCAATAATGGTGCAGTTTTGTACGTTGGACCCCAGATGTGCCAGTCTGTTCATTTTTAAAATTTCTATTTTATCCTGCATTTGCTAGGCGGTCAAGATATAATGCACATGGGGATCTCCCCTCATTTTATTCCACAACAATAACCCTCTAAAGTAGTAGACTTCAGAGAGAGTGAGGGCCAAAACTACCCTCTGAGTCCAGTGATGGAGTAAGGATTTGAATCTAGGTCTTCTCAGCCCAACATCCCAGTCCGCCACATTGGCTTTCTCAGTCTTTTGTTGTGTTAAATAACACAGCCTTCTCCTACGTCATATCTCCACTATAAAACAATGGATATTATTTCATTTATTTTTATTGATTATTAAATGTATTCCCTGCCTTTCTGCTTATATAGGCATTAAAGGGGCTTATAACAGTGTAAGCAAAATGCAGCAGTAAAATGGATATACCACACATACTCACGGATAAGCTGAGAATTTTAGGTGCCAAAATACACCCAAAAAATTGGGTTCAGCTTATCCACAGATGGGCTTATCTGCGAGTATATATGATAATTAATATTTTAAAAACCAATTAAAAGCTTGACTATAAAACCCATTATCAAGCTACTTTTCTCTACTTTTGCAATATAGTCCATAAACGGACTCCAGTCTTTAATAAAAGCCTCTGTAGATTTCCCTCTCATTAGACATGTCAGTTTTGCCATCTCTGCCATGTCCGTAACTTTACATATCCAATCTTCCACATTTGGGGCTTCTTTATTTTTCCATTTCTGTACATCTAACAACCTTGCCACGGTGATCATATACAATAAGAAGACATCATGCTTTTTATTCCGTTGTTCTTCCATAAACCCTAATAAGTACAGTTCTGGTTTCACCTGAAAAGGGATTCCTATTGTTTTCACCAATGTCCTGTGGATCACCATCCAAAATTTTTTGACCACTTCACAAGTCCACCACACAGAATAGGTTCCATCCTCTTTTCCACATTTCCAACATGTACTTGAAATGTTCTCATACAGTTTTCATAGTATCACAGGTGTCAAATGCCATCTATACATCATTTTATAAAAACTTTCTCTTAAATTATTGCACACAGTAAGTTTAATTTTGACGGCATTCTATTCCCAAGAGCCAAGTGACCTTCCCCAGCAGTTTCACGTAGATATTAATCAGCATAGGGAACAAGATAGACATGATAGGTTAGTGACAAAGTCCCTGCACCATCTTCTGGCCATGCCCTAACCCAAAGGGCCAGAATCACTGCAACAGCATTGAAAAATAGGGCCCAGCCCTGTGGGACAACCTGGAAATATAACACTGTTGACATCTAGGTTTCTGCATTCTTTTAGCTTGCTATCCTACAAAACATAATTATTTTAATTCTGAGACAAAAAGTGGGTATAAAATTGCTGTAGCAATGAGAGCAATGGAGTTCATCATCAGTAGGTGTTCTGTGCGCCATCTTCTTGATCTTTCAAAATACAGAAGCAACAAAACCTAAATAGCCACAGTTTTCAGATTAAAATATATTCATACAATCTTAATTTTGTCTGATGCATCCTCACTTTGATGATGGCCACTGGATGCCATTTTTCTGTTTTCAGGAAAAGAGGCTACCCTGCTGATGCAACATTTGACCAAGCTGAATACACCAGAAGAGAAATTGGATGTCTTATTTAAGAAGTATGCTGAACTGGTTAGTATAGCACTTACAGAGATCTGTGGTAGGGGAAAAAAACTGCTTAAAAACATGTCCTACGTGATGCAAAATGGCCAGATTGCAACTTGGAAGCAGATACAATATTTTTTTAAGATCCCTGCTGAAGCGTGGAAGAAGCCATCTTAAATTTGCAGAAGGGAAGTTTCTCCCACTCATTTGCCTTTCTCAACTATATATGACACACAAGTATCAGCAGTCCTGCTTGACAGGAAGCATCATCAATATCAAAATACCTAAATATATATCTCTGGGATAAACGGAGGTCCTCTCCCAATGTTTGAAGTGTGTCAGTGTAGAGAGTAAGGGGGGGGGGTGACCTTGACAGAAATACGCAAGAACTGTTACCTAGGCAAAGGGAAATGAAACATTATTTAAGTCCTGGGAAGCAAGATTATATTTGGAAGTAACTCGGGCAAACACCTCCCTGATTCACTCGGGTATAAGAAGAACAAACAGACTTGCAAGATCCTGTTATTACAGCTTATCTCAATAAAGTGTAGTTGCGGTCTTTCTGTGGAATCAGTTTCCTGACCTGTCTATCTAGTGGGGCTGACCATCAGAGTCTGGAAGGGGAGAAACAGGCTCAGACTCAACCCAAGAAAGACAAAGTGGCTGTTAATTCAGAAGCCAAAAGAAACTCTAGACAAGGTTGTGTTCTTCTTGAAAGAACAGGCCCATAATCTGGGGGGCTTTCTGGACTCATAGGTCCTGCTGGAAGATGCCATGGTCAAGAAGGTCTTTCCTCAGTGTTGGCTAGTGCTCCAGTTGTGGCCATTCCTGAAATGGGAGGCACTGAGTACAGTCACTCATATTGTTGCCACTCACCTGGATTACCTTAATTCATATTACATGATGACCATCCAGAAACTTCAGCTGGTACAGAATGCACCTGCCTGTGTGATAAGGATCAGACCCATTATCCCCATGTTATACTGTTATGGCAGCCGCCCTGGCAGTTTGCTTTTGGGTTAGTTATCTGATACCACCTATTCCAAGTAGAATCTATTCATCCAATGCATATACAAGCAAAGAGTACTTTCCAAGGGGTTCCCACCTATGGGGACTTCCAACAAAAGGAGACCTAGAGGCAGGCCATCCATTCAGGGGCTCCCTCCTATAGAACAGCTTGCCCTCAGAGGCAAGAGAGGCCCCTTCCCTTGTGATCCTCTGAAAGCTTGTTGAAACCTGTTTATTTCAGAATGCCTTTGGGATCTAAATTTTTGTTGCCCTGCACCATGATAGAATTACTGCAGTGTGATGTAGTCATTCTTTTTTATTGTATTATTTTATTGTTGTTATGAAGCTTTGCTGACTTGTATATTGTTAACTAACTAGATAAAAGAGGTATTGTAGGAGGAGAGTTATGTTAGTCTATGATGGCAAAAAATCAGGAATCTGTAGCACCTTTCCCAACTAACACATCTTATTAAGTGCTTCTGGCATTTTTATTAAATGTATTAGAGTTGTTAGTTGGACTTTATTATATGCCTTTTGATAAAATGTGTTAGTTGGAAAAGGCATTACCAGATTTCTGAATAAAAGAGGCAAAAATAAATGGTTTCTCCACCATCTATTTCATCTCCTGTCACCCAGCCAGTATTTTGAACACCCCCACATACACCAAACTGAATTGCACATCACTTAATTTTATTTTGAATGGAATTTATGGAAATAATAATTTGGCAATGGAATAATTAACTGAAGAACTGATAACATTTGGAGCAGGATCTGGAATAAAAGTGGAGAAATTAATTGGGGTGATCCTTACTCAGCCCTTGATTTCACACTTAATTGTGGTGTGAAAGAAACCAAGCAGACACTTTTTCCCCCTCCTCTACCTGTCCACTGCCATTGCAAATTAGCTAAATAATCTATTTTATTTGGGGTTATTTGAATGAAAATTAGCTTTTTTTGGCCTTCTATGAAATCTAAATAAATTCCAGTAATTATTCCTAAATATCTATGTTAGATACAGAGTGGTATCATATCTATTAAATGCCTAAGAATGGATTTGTTCTAAGTTCTCTTGCTTTGCTTATTTATTCTTGTCCACATACTTTCAGATGGAAGAACATCGTTCTGAACAAAAAAAACTGAAGTGTCTACAGAAAAGACAGACACAGCTCATAAAGGAGAAGGACCAATTACAGAGTGAACACAGCAGAGCCATCCTTGCCCGGAGCAAATTGGAGAGCCTTTGTAGGGAACTCCAAAGACACAACAAAACCCTGAAGGTAATGAGAAGAGAAGTTCTCTAGGGGAGGTCAGAAGGAAAAGCTAAATTCACTTGGTATCCTTAGCTGATTCACAATAGATTGGCAAGGACCATTAACTCTTAAACGTTAAACACTAGTAGCAACAAAGTGGTTTCCTGCTTCTGTCTAAATTATACTTTGGAAACAACTGAAATCTACTCCTGTATTATGCCTAATTTAATATTATTTCCTGGATTCCCACTTTCATCTAAAATGACTGAAGCCAGATGTACAGGGATATAACCCAGGTTTATTCCCTTGATGTATCCAGTGGCAATGTATGGAAACAGGTGCTGTGTTATAATGCTTTTCTTCAGTTTTATGTGCAGTGACGAATTGTGAGGTATACCAGTGGCCATGTTGGGTGGGATTGGTACACCTAAAACAATATAAATTCCTCCAGAAACCCACAAAAATAATGTCAATAAGGCAATAATACAGCCAAAGAAATCGGTCCCAGTCTCACGTGGGCCATTATTACATCACCGCTCCTTCCAGCCTTAAGATGCCAAAAATAACACAAATACATGTTCCTGGCTGCAAAACTGGCCCATCTCTGATGTAAGCTAATGTAAAAGCAATTAAGGCAGCATCCAAAGACTGATAAGGCCTGAATTATATAACTGATCCATTTCTGTCCTGGCCCAAGCAAATCAAGTTTTTCAAGCCAAGAGCTTCATTTAGCCTTTGAGCAGCAAATTAGTGGCATTCTTCTTGTAAAAAAGTGTGGCCGGGAGAAATAAATGGGTGCAATCAACTCTCCCTATATTTTTATCAATCTAAATTTGCGTTTGCATTTAATGTTATATTTAATTAAAAACAGTTAACCTGTTTTTCCTTGCGTACTTAATAATTTTTGCCTCGTCTCTCATTGATAACTACAGTTTGGTAGCAGCAACTTTTTAGAGGCTCTCTATATTCAAAGCATTGAGGCATTATACAGAGACCTGATTATATGGATATATAAGGCCCCAGGCTAGCCCTCTGTACTGGAAATGGCTCCCAAAAAGACCTCTGGAAGAAGTACGAAAAGACAAGCAAAGTGTTAATGCAAAGAATTGTCTACTCTAGTCTGCTGAAGTGAATAGCATTAGAAGGACAATACTTTGAACCAGAATGAGAGAGAGGGAAAATTGGGGGGAGGGATGTATTTTTGCAAATGTCCACCAAGATTTTTTTTGAGAAGAAATATTCTTAGAGGGTGCTCAGATAGATCCTTAATCATCCTTGACTGATTTCAAAAAACTAAAGGTTGGACCTAGCTAGTATTTGGATGGAAGGGCACCAGGAAATTCAGGACCATAAGTTACACTGGGAAGATTAAAAAAAAAAAAAATCTTGGAAGAGGGGGATGGCAAACCATTTCCAGGAGGACTACACAGAACTATAAAATTCCCATGAGTTAGATTCATTAATTTAGTCCTAGGCTTCTGGTGTTTTCTTACGTTCCTTTTATCCCTACTAGTTTCATTTTAATAATTAAAAGAAAAAGAAAAAAAAGGCCGTACCTTAAGTTTGCTCATTACTGTTGGGATATCAGCTGGTGAAGGAGGATAGAAATCTGCTTTTCTACTTCTTCCTGGATGAGACTGCAATGATGGAGAAACATCATCCAGTTGTTGCATTACAGGAAGAGACTCTTCAGCGGGCAAGAGAAGAAGAAGAAAAGAGGAAAGAGATCACAAATCATTTCCAGGGCACACTGAATGATATCCAGGCACAGATTGAGCAGCAAAGTGAGAGGAACATGAAGTTGTGCCAGGAAAATACTGAGCTGGCTGAAAAACTGAAAAGCATCATTGATCAGTATGAAGTGAGAGAGGAGGTAAGAGCAATGTGGCAAGTAGTCTTTGTTTAGTAACTGCCTCATACAGGGATCATTCGCAATTATGAAAGTGATGAAAAAGTAACTTTGCGACCAGCCCTCAGATTTACGACCTTCACAAGTCTGTAAAGCAAAGGAAAGCTGAAGAAAGATCATAAGCACAGTTGCGGTTTTACTTGACAACCACTTCACTTAACTAACAAGTGGCTGGTGCCAACTGTGGTCACTAAATGAAGACTACCTGTACTACTTCTCTCCAGGATGTTCCACCCAAAGCCAAGAGTTAGATCTGGCCTTGTAGCACTGGAGTAATAGTAACCATCCTTTTATCCCAGAATGTTAGGTGTTGCAGGAATCAAATTATGCAAAGTTATGCAAAATCAATCAGGGATTCATTCCCCTTGCAATTTTGGACTGGTAGCTACAATGTCTAAACTGTATTTTGGAACTTCTGGGGGGTTTGCCTGTCTTGTTACAGATTTGGGATTTTTTTTTCCCTCCCTCAAAGAATAGAGCTATTATTGTAGTTTTTATTTTATTGTAGCTATTATTATAGAATGCAGTTCCTCCATTCACTGCAGCTAACATCCCACAGAACTTTTACTCCAGACTCATAGTTTAATCATTCCTTTTTGCTCTTTAGTTAAAAAAAAAAAAAAAACGACAATATATTTAACATTGGGAGTCAGTAAGTTAGCTGAAACCGATGAGATGTTGTTGTTTTATTGCTGATTGGGCTTTGCTCTTGGCTGCCATTATAGGCTTTTATATTGTTGTACTTTGATGTTTATTTTTGTATTGTGCTTTTATGTAACGTTAGCCACCTAGAGTTGCTATGGTGAAATTGGCAGCCATATAAATTGAATAAATAAATAAAATAAACATGGAATGCTACAAATAAATTTCGGCAGCTATAAAGAAGTTATAATGCATAAACTAAGAAATCTCAATTTATGTACTTGATTTTATACACAATTTTGTAGCTTACAACTTCACAATTGTTTTTACCGGGGATATTTAAAATCTTTAAATAATTTAAAAATCTAAATAATCTGTCCAACAAGTAGAAGTTTAGAATGCAATAACAACTTTGAAACACTTTTTGCTATTTTACGTATGTTATTAACAGCACAATTCTGTACTTGTTTACTCAAAAATAAATCCCAATGAGACTTATTCCCAGATTCATAGAGATTGCAGTCTTAATCATGTACTCTAGCATTTTCCCCTATCTCTCTCTCTCTCTTTTTTCCTTCCAGCATCTTGATAAAATATTTAAGCACAGGGAACTTCAGCAGAAACTGGTAGATGCCAAGTTGGAACAGTCGCAAGAGGTCATGAAGGAAGCTGAAGAACGGCATCAGCGAGAAAAGGAATATGTACTCATTTTTTTAGTTGCTTATGTATAGTTTGTATTCATCTCTGAATTTATTTATTTATTTATAGATTTATATCCTGCCTTTATTTTGTACAACTCAAGGTGGTATACGTAATGTTCCTGCCTCCTATTCTCCCCACAACATCAACTTTCTGAGGTTGGGCTAAGAGAGCATGACTGGCCCCAAGTCACCCAGCGGCTTTCATGCCTAAGGGAGGACTAGAACTCCTGGCCTCCCAGTTTCTCACCTCTCTCCTCTGACAGCCAGGATGCTGTAGTGACTATGTTAGCAGACTAAAATTAGGGTGATGCGGTTGCATCCTCAGCCATGGCAGCTCACTCAGTAACCCTTAGCCCAATCTTGTTCTGAGAGGCAGGAGTGCTCTGTGCACCAGTCTGAACCTCTAGGAGTCAGAATGTAGTCTGAATGAACACACGGGACTCCCATTCCAGCACTGGGTATATTCACTCTCCCTTAAGTATAAAAAAACAGAAGTATCTGCTGGTCTCATGAAGCAATGAATTCATTTGTCATAGTGACGTTTGATGTTTCCACTCAGGAGCTCAAGGTGTACATATAGTCACCTAATTTGTTCTCCCTGGAGTTTTGTGATTACTATTAGAATGAAATAAGATCTGGCTGGAGATTACTTAGCTTCATGACTGAATAATAATTTGAACCCACATTCTTCCTATCCAAGTATTCTAGCCATTCTACTACAGGTAGTCCTTGTTTAACGTCCACTTGTTCAGCAACCATTCGAAGTTGCAATGGCACTGAATGAGGGGTACTTATGACGGATTCTTGTGGTTGCAGCATCCCATGGTCATGTGATCACCATTTAGTGCCGGCTTCCGACAAAGTCAATAGGGAAGCTGGCAGGAGGTCGCAAATGGCGATCATGTGACCACAGAAAGCTGCAACCCTGTGAGATTCACCGAACAGCAGCAACTGGGACTGCCAAAACTGCCGTCGTAAGTCAGTGCAGTCACATGACATCGCACCTTATGATCGCACCACTTAGCGATGGAGCTCCCAGTCCCAATTACTATCAGTGAGGATTACCTGTACATATCTCTGAGCCTCAGGACACTCAAAGAAATAGCCATCAAGATTTGGAGGTTTACAAGTCAGATGAATGCTAAATAGTTTAAAGATTTCTAGTTCCATATCTAGAAATTTCTAGTTCCACTTTTTTCTTCAGTGTGCCCTGTTGTATGCCTCCCATGGGCTCAAACTACATATTCTACCATTTTGTAGTGCTTCCTGGTTAATGTTCATGTGAGTTGGAGGGAGTTAATCCTGACTTCCTCATTCATTCTATAGAACAATCCCCATGCCCCAAGATAAAGTATTTACCATCCTTATTACAATGTAGATGCATGCTGAACATATTTTTATTCACCTAGTACAGGACATCTGGTGGCAGTGCTCCACAATGGTTAATGGTTAATGTGTTTCAATATATATTTGGTTATTTAAAATTAGTTTGCATGTCTTATTTTAAATTCTGTAAATATATATTTAATAGTGTTCACTGCCCAGTGAAACATAGTATAACAGAGGTATAGAAATATTTTAAATACATAGCTATAGATTCAGAAATTTCTTACCACTGCCAACTCGTGTGTGTGTGTGTGTGTGTATGTGTAGTAGGATGGGGGGGAGAGAAAAAACAAAATGGGAAAAGAAGCCGCCTGAGAATACAGCGATCTCTAGATTTCTACTTATGGTAAGAACAAGCAAGAAAGCAAGTAGATCCATTGTCAAGGTGCCTATTTTTAGATGAAAATATTTCAATAGGTCATGATTCAAAAATTCATTTGAATGTTTAACAAATTTTGCAACAGCATCTACAGCATTATGTGTTCTTTACTGTACACCAAATGAGGGAAACTGATAATTAGATTTTATATCAAAGATCAGAATGCTTTTGCTTTGAAATTGCTTAACCTTGCATTTTACATTAGCAGCAGAATAACTCTGCTGCCTCCTGGTGGCCTCAGAGAAGTTTATTTGCTGCTGCTTTGGTTGATTGGGATACAATCCAACCAGCTTAGTGCTCCTATAATTTAGGATAATTGGAAAAAAAAAAGTATTGATCATATTCAAACAATATGTAATGCAACGCTCAAAATTTAAATATCCTTTAGCACAAACTTTTGATCAATGTTCAGTTGTAGAAATTCCTTTTCTACATTTTGTTTCAAAATTTGTATTTCCTGGATCTTTCACATATACATTTTAATTTCTCATTGTACAATGGTGTGATCATGTGATACACTCCAAGAAGTAGGTGAGGACAGACTAAAGAAGAGGTGGAGTCAATATAAAAATTAAAATTGATTTTATTTTCATGTACATTAAATTAAGGTTCACTACTTAAATTTAGTTAACAATTAACCACTCCTGTGAATATAATTTTCTTCAATTCACATGGAAAATTACAATCTGATGTGAACTTTTTGGGGGAATTTTGGGCGATATAGCCGATAGCTTCCTTGTTACCAGTGGTGAAAATGACCAAATCTGGGCTGCAGAAATCTAGATGACCACTATGTGGCAGTAGAGAAATATAGAGAATTCTTTGCCATCTAATGGTCATCTGAGGGTTTGCAGCCTGGATCTGATAGGGTTACCTGTGGTTGCAACCTTATTCTCAGCACCAGTGATATCTGGTTGTTAACAGTTGGATGCAAATAACCTTTGATCTGTTTAAACAGATTGGCACCTTGACTTGTCCTGGAATTAGTGAATTCATACCTTTTGATATTTGTACTAGAGTTTGTTCTAGAGCAAGAATAGATATTTGTAAATATGAGTGCTTAATTTTGAAGTGAAGCTTTCTTTCCAAAATTGTTACTTACAATGTTTTGCCTTTAATTAAAGCCCCAGTTTGATTAGGGCAGTTTAGCCAGGGTGCAGTACGAAGGGCCTCAGTGCTTCTACTAAACTTAGCCTCAAGCTGTTTAATATTAATTTTTCTCTATTTCTAGGAGCAAACAAGACCGACCAACTGCATTCAGTAGTTGTATATTCTTTATGAGTTGGTTTTCCCTTCCTTCATATTTTATTAATAACAACACCAATATCAGCACGGAACTTTTTTGATTTGGAAGAAAACCCCAGGCTATACAATCAGCCTTTTTAAAAAAAATGCTAATTGAAAATATTGCTTTGAACAGTTGCTTTTATTACAAGTAGCTCCCAGATTTGTCTTGTAAATTAGACATGTCAAGTTGAGCTATAGAGTATAACTAAGACCAGAGAGGGCAAAATAAAACTCATTAATGAGCCAGAACAGATTACACATACAAGCAGTTTCTGCCTCATCTGTTCTATTTGGTTATGTCATACAGCAGTGTTGTCCAAACTTGGCCACTTCGAGTGGACTTCAACTCCCAGAATCCCCAGCCAGCATGGCTGTCTGGGGAATTCTGGGAGTTGAAGTCCACA